CGAATGGCCCATAGGTTGTTTATTCTTTCTTGTTATTTATGTTTTTCTGTAATGGGCCTTATTCTGGGCCCATCCTGTCTATATTAAGTTCTTTGTAAATTCTTGCCCAACTAAGGGCCTCCTTGTAATTATTCAAATATATCTTAATAAAATAGTGTTAGGGTGCTGAGAGAGAGTAGATTCGAAACTCTCATTCAAAGACCCTCATTGCCGAACTCTCAGCTCTCCTCTCTTTAGTTTTCTTCATGTTCTTATGCAAAGCATCTAATTCAGTCATCATAGCATCCCTACATTCTGGTTTGGACAAGGCTTCTGGGACAGATCTAGGAGTCACATGTGTGGAAACAGAGGCAACGAAAGAATAGTAGGAAGGGGAAAGAAGGTTGTAGGACAGGTGTTTGGAAATTCAATAAGTACATTTTCGTTTGCCTTTGCGAAGAGCAATAAGGAGATCAAGGCCAAGGAAGGTATCAAAAGTGGTAGAAGAGGGTTGACTTGTTACCTCAGTAGTAATGGGAGGTGCAAGAGGCACATTTGAAGGTGTGGAAACAACTTGCATGTCCCTGAGTCTTTGTCTCTGGTACCACCTTTGGACAATAGGATGGGAAGAAAATGTGGGAGAATGAGCAGGAGGAGGGAGAGTAGGAACATGAGAAGAAGAGCCAACAGAGGACTCGATGGAAGGAGACACAAATAGAAGACTCAATGGGAATTGGAAGAGGGATAGATGGTGACATCGCAAACAACTCCTCTGAATGCACCCCCTTAGGAGAAGTACCAAAGAAAGGAACAGACTCCGCAAATGTGACATCTCTAGAAACAAAGCGAGTGCCACGAACTGGATCGAAACAACAATACCCCTTTTGTGTGGAGGCATATCCCAAGAAGACACACTTGTGTGTTGTAGGCTCAAACTTATGTCTTTGGTGACTGTGAACATGAACATAGCAAGTGCACCCAAACACTCGGAGAGAAAGAGAGAAGAGATCCTCATTTCAAATAGGAGGCTAAAGAGAGTTTTAAACCCTAGGACTCGGGAAGGCATCCGATTTATCAAGTATGTAATTGTAAGTACAACATCCCCCAAAAACTAACAGGAATATGAGAAGCAAAAAGGAGGCTCCTCGCAACCTCAACCACATGTCGGCTCTTCCTTTCTGCCACTCCATTTTGTTCTAGAGCGTAGGAACAAGAAATCTGATGAATAACTCCAAAGGTATCAAAGTAGGAGGAAAGGCTCTTCTCAAAATATTCCTTTGCATTGTAAAATCGGAATATTTTGATCCAAGTACTAAACTGGGTGAGAATAAGTTCATGAATTTTTTTTACAATATTTGGCATTTCATCCTGGGATTTCATAAGATAAATCCAGGTGTAATGAGAGAAATCATTAATGAAAATGATGAAATATTAGTAATCCCCCATAGCAGATAAATGATATGGCCTCCACACATCAGAGTGCACAATATGGAAAGGAAAAATTGATCCTTTATTACTCACTGAAAAAGATTGTCTACAATGTTTTGCAAGTTCACATGACTCACAATGAAGAATCGATAGGGATATTCCCTTAAAACATTTCTGGAAACAAATGACTCAAAGCTAAAAAAGGCAAATGACCAAATGTCAAATGACATATCATGACTCTATCAACTGACTCTGATGAAATAGACTCCAAGGCTACTCCACAAGGTGGTCTAGGAATTTTATCAGAGATATCTAGCAAATACATTTCATTCGCCTCATGGCCATTCCCAATCGTCCTCTGAGATTTCAGGTCCTGAAAAACACAATAAGTAGGAAAGAAGGTTATGCTACAATTCATTGATTTTGTTAAGCTACTAACAGATAGAAGTCTAGTGCTAAGTTTAGGAATATGAAGGACAGAGGATAATACAAGGGAGTCAGAGGCTCTAATATTCCCCTTGCCAGAGATGGGAGCAAGAGACCCATCGACAAGAAAAATCTTCTCTACTAGAGAGGAGCTGGTATGAACAGAAAATATTAGGTATGCTAGTCATATGGTCTGATGCACCAGAATCTATAATCCAAGGAATTCTACGATTACCTGAGGTTGTAGCATGATTTGCAGAAACACGAATACCTGAATGGGCAAAAGCGGATGAAGAGGTGTTGCCTGAGGAGGAAGCTGCAACAGTAGTCTCCAAGTGATTAATCAACCTCCCATATCTCTCAAACTCTACCTTTCTTAAAGTTGTTGTTCCGAAACCTCTCTGGAAGAAGATTTGGATGAAGTTTCCAACAAGTATCCCTAGTATGTTTCGGTTTCTTGTAGTATTCACATATCACCTCCTTCTTCTCAGTTACCCCCTTTTGGTTTTATTCCAGCATGTGAAAAATGTTCTGAAGGTGGTGGACCCTGTAGTTGTACTTGTCGCCTGCTCTCTTCACTGCTCACCATAGAGTAAGCCTAAGCAAGTGTTACTTCATCCTTGGCCAAAATATTCTGCCTCGTAATATCAAATTCAGGATTAAGTCTTGTAAGGAATTCAAACACCCTATTTCTTTCCACAAATTTCTTGAAAGTCTCTACATCTTTGGTGCTTTCCCATACAACTGCTTCCATAACATCAATCTCCTGCCATAGTGACTTCAACATCGAGTAGTAGACAGCTACACTCTTCTCCCCCTGTTTCAAATTTTTCACATCATTCTTCAGTTTGTAGGCCCTTGCAACATTCAATTTTTGAGAATATGTTTCTGTAACACTATCTCAAATCTCCTTGGCTGAAGTCATCCAAAGATAGTGTTGACTTATGTGGGGCTGCATAGAATTTACCAACCACCCAATAACTGTGTAGTTATCCTGCATCCATTTATCATTTGCAGGATTAGTCTCTTCCAGTTTCACCTTACTACCTATGGGAAACCCTAGTTTACCTCTACTATAGACATGAATCTTTATAGATTGTGCCCAAGCTAAGTAATTTGTTCCGCCAAGTTTGATTGTAGTCACCCCTATCAGAATGGAATCTACGGGACCAACCCCAGACACCGGGATCTACTTCATCTCACTTCCAGATTGCTTCATCAATCAAACAAAAATCAAAAAACAATGTTTTCAACCTTTATAAACCTAACTGAGGTCAATCCAGTACTTAAAAATCCCAAAACTAGGGTTTCACTGTACCTTGCCTCCGGGGAGAGAGAGAAGTAGCCGCTCAAACCAAAGCTTCCCAAACCTCTTCCAATTGCAACCACCCACTTTTGGAGATAAAAAGGAATCCTCAAAGCCTTGAGCGCCACACCCAAACAATCTCTTTAACCTGTAACTGGAAACTCTCTAGTCGACTAGGGTTTTGGGTAAAAAATCTACAACCCCACTTTCTTAGCAATCTACAACCAGATTCTGACTCTCCAAACCCTCTACCAACTAGGCATACAAGTTCTCTGAATGATCAGAAATTTATTTCTCCATACACCTTTCAATTAGAAAAAGTGTATGGGAAAAGAAAAGAAAAAAGGATAAAAGCAAAGGAAGACCTTCTCTGATACCAAGATGTGATTCAGACCAATAAAAAATAGTAGAATAATTTAGATTATAGCAAAAGATGTAGAGAAGAAGAAGAAGACAGCAAGAAGAAGGAAGAATGGAGAAGAAAGGAGAAAGGGGAAGGAGTTCGATAATCTCTTCTTTCCCCACTCTAATCTTTTATTAATCTTACTTAAGTTACAAAATTTACAAGTCTGCCCTTAAGTGGGCGTCCACCACAGCAGCATACTTAGAAAACATAAACAAGAATTAAAAGGCCCATTAAGAACAAATAACAAGAAAGAACTAATCAATAAGACACTAATGGGCTTCGGCCTAGTCTCTCTACAGGAAGATCAACAAATACCTTAGCGGATGGGTTAGCTAAGCAAAGGGCTTCAAGGGAACATTTATTTTGGGCTGCACTATATTTTTTATTCTATTTTATTCCTGTTTTAACTTGATGTAATACTTTGTTAGGAGAGGTAACAGCTTGTACCTCTCCATGGGTTTCCTGTAATGCCTTAATTTTCTGGTTTAATAAAATTATCTTCATTCATCAAAAAAAAAAAATCAATGGGCAGTAAAAGCTGAAGAAAGTGAATCAAGCATCCTACCAGTGACCGGTGAGGTAAAATAGAGACACGGCTAGAAGGCTCCATTGCGTGACAGAAAGAATATCTGTGGCTCCAATAAAACCATTCATGGTATCTTGTTCCAAATTCTCTAACCTTATTATGCACCATCCTGTCATAATAAGAAAGTAGAGAGCATTACACCTACAAGAAATGCAAAATATCCAATAAAACAAGCACAGGATGAAGCAACTATATAATGGAAAGGTACCTGCAATTATAGATACCAAACTAACCAAGAAACCTTGTCTTCCCAGTAAGATTATGATGGTTGAACTCCATGCAGATAACATAGTCACTGTTTTGATAACTAGAACTTCTTTGTAATCCGAAGTCTTTCCCTTCTGCTTAAACAATTGAGCAACTGCTAGTAACACTAATAACCCACATCCAATAGCATAAATTATCCGTGGGACAGAATTTCTTCCTATGCCTTCAAGCACCAGTGGAATTTCCAGCATGTTACTTTCTAAGGCCCAATGCACTGCTATGAGCATATAACTTAAAACGGTTGCTGTGGTAAAGATAATTTTAAAAACCCTCCAACATGAGCTGCCAGAAGTGGTTGTATACAGAAGGTATGCTAAAAAAACTAGTGCTAGTATTGGAACAATCTCAGAAATAAAAACCCAAAAGAAGTGACTCTCATCAATACCAAGCATCCTCAGAGGATATGTGCTCATAAGCATGGCACTGACAGCCTGCTTTGATAGCCCAATTTCAACAATAAATCTGGAAATGGATATCAATAGAAGAAACGCAACTGCCTGCAAATGTCTTATGAACGATTAGCTTCAATGAATGATGTCTACAGATATAGAAAAAAGGTTCCCTAATCACTTAATCAGGTCAAGTAGGGAGCTCCCTACATGAACCCACCAATTTTACCACATAGAGAGATCTTGTGGCTGATTCAGAATATTCATCTGATGGGGGACCCACTGGATTGCCCACATACACAATTCTACAGTCCCCATATCTGCCATATTTCCCACCTTGCACTATTGTTTTCACAACTAATATTAGCTGTCCAAGGTTTTAATTTCTTAAAACTTACCTAAAATGTTTGTTTAATTTGCATATGTAGCAAAGCTTTCTGGGCCTAATCTTTTTCCAAGAATTAGGGTGGAGAGAGAAACTTGGAGACTCCTATTGAGCTCCAAACTAGTTTGCCATATGCAAGAGTCTTGGTCATTTAGGATGCTTACAAAACACCCCTACAGTTGCCATAGTTACGCCATGTGAAAGAATATGTGGCAAGCCAAGCCATCTACCCAGTAAGGGACCCTCTGGATCAGGAACCTGTTCAATTCTCCAGTCCATGTTAGCCTTACACCCAAACTTTTATTAGTTTTTCCATAATTAACATTGACTGTTGAAAGTTTCAATACTTTAATACTGAACTTGTTAGAAAGACAGACAGACTTATTCTGTCCATGTGCCAAATTTCTTGGGGCGATTGAATTTGCCTCATGAAAGAACCTGTGGAGCCATTTTAGGCCCCAAACCAGTTTGCCACATGGAAGATTCCTTGGTAGTTCAACCTTCACCAAAGAACCCAGATATAAGGAGTGGGCTTGCTAGTTGGTTTGTTTAGTGAGCCTTCTCTTAAGGGGTCTCAAAATTCCCTTCCTTACCCTCTATATATAGTTTCTATAAAAAAATAAAAAATTTGAATAGCTAATAATATTTGTGAAAACTACCGATATAATGTGGGATATGGGGATGACACAGATTCTGGATTGGACATGTCACCAATACAATGGGTTCATTATAAGATACCTCTACGTGCCAGAATTAGGCTTGTTCATGTAGGATGTCCCTACTTCACACTAGTAGGGAACACAGTTGCTATAAAAGCACATCTAAAATAAACAAATTAGTCAGCAGAATCTCTGAGAAGAGAAATAGAGACATGATTTAACAATACTTACTTCTGTTAACATCTTATTCTCCATGATTGAATAACGTAAATTAAGGATACCAGTTGTACCCAAAAGAAAGTTTGCTACTTTTCCTTCTGTCACTGATGCCAAGAGAATAAAAAACATAATCAGAAAGAAATGCAGAATGGAAATAATAAATAGAAAATCCATATTAGAGAAGATATTGAGCAATTATACAGTGAGAACTTACAGATGTAACTATTTGAAAGAAAACTGCATGCTCGCATTGCAACCATAAAAACAGCAAAAACGACCCTTGAAGAGATACCCGAAGCCCTAACTGAAGGGTAAGTGGCCTGGCACAGCATATGTGCCCTCCTAAAAGCAATAAAGTGGACGAGTAGCGAAAATAGCATAATGCCTATACCAGCACCCATCATCCATAAATCAAACTCGGTCCATTTTGAGCGTGCAAGTTCTGCAACACTTGCCAAAAAATTTGAATATGTATTAATTTGCCCCTCAAGAGATGATAATGTAGAAGCAAAGTTATCATTAAGGGTTTCTTGCCCAGACAAGAATGACTTCTGTACACTATTTGACCAATTATTCAGCGCTTGAGCATAGATCTCTTCTACATGGAGTAAATCTTCAGAGGAAAAACCAATAACTGATGATGCTGAATAGACATCAATATATCTTTTAACCTGCAAATGAAAGATTAAAATCATGATGGTGTCATAAAAAAGGTATGATACATCATGATATCATCAAGAGAAAAAGGTGTTGCATTAGCAGAAGTATCACTGTGCACAGTAACACATACATGCCCAAGTCTATGTGTATGTTCACACATACATATGCATACCGACAAATAAGTTTGGGTTAAATAACTGCCATTGCACACTCAGGATGCTTACCAACTTCATACCAGTAATTAAATAAGTGGCTTTGCAACCTTATCATTATGATGCCCCTTTAAAATTTTCCTCTATTTTCTAACACAAAACAATAAGATTCCCTAGATACATAACAAAACAAGGAGAGGTATGATCAGCAGCAGCAGGCCTTAGGCCCATTACCATTGAGCTACGTTAGTGCCTAAGGCTAAGTTTGATTACAATTCTGCTCCAAAGAACCACTATTCGAAGAATGAAATCTGAGCCAAAAATTATTCTTCTTTGAAGATAGATTTAGCTTTAAAGATTTTCTTTTTTTTTATATCTTTTGTAGGGCTACCCAACCAGGGGTAGCCCATCCCCCAACCCACCCACCCCAAACCCAGGTGCAGGCAGGATTCGATCCCAAGTCTGCTACAACTAGCAGGAGACCTTACCAACCAGCTGGTTGGCACCTTTCAGCTTTAAAGAATCAACACTTAGAATAAATTTTTGAACCCAGAAAAAGAATTACTTCCAACAATTTTCATAAATTCAAACATAGAGTGATTCTTAGAATCACAAAATTCAAGCATAAAGTGATTCTTTTATTCGTTTGGGGAGGAAAGGAATAGAAGAATTTTTCAAAATAGTTCCAAGGAACTCAACTGTTTAGTTTCTATTTCTTTTGGAAAGCTAATCTCCTGGACAGCAGCTGCAAAAGGTCTCCAAAGCAGGGTGCTTGGAACGCAGCTGGGGTCTAGTAGTTTATTTGAGTTGTAAGTCAGTGTTGGGTCCTTACCTTTTTTCAAAAAAAAAATCACCAGAATGAATTCTATGAAAGCATGCCAAATGGAGCCTAAATATTCTACAGCCATGGCAAACTTCCCTTAGGCAAGCTAAATATTCTATGAAAGCATGCCAAATGGAGCCTAAAAAAATCACCAGAATGAATTCACTACTCAACCTATATGCAAGCCCATACCAAGCCTGTTCCAATAGGCCCAATGAAAAAGGTACTAGAAAGAGGATGTTCCAAGGAGGACTCCAACAAGATAAGATTAATAGTTAAATTTGTCTCTTTTTTGGTAGTAATAAAAAATTAATAAGGAAAAAAGGTACATCCAAGGGATGATGAGAGATCACCAAGAAAGAAAACAAAACAAAGAACAAAGATTACAAAGAGATCAGATCCCATGTTCTAACTCTAAAGCAACTCAGAAATTATTCTATCTTCCTTTGAAATGCTTTCAAACTATGGTAATATCAAAATTCAATTTCTAAATCTCTTTTGCTTAAGTAGACAACTTGATCCCTGCGCTTTGAACAGCTATCAAAAATTCTTCTATTTCTTTCATTCCAAATTTCCCAGCAAATAGCGAAAGGAATACAGCTCCAAACTATCTTTGCCTTCCTATTTCCCTCAAAATAGGCAATTAACCAAATACTTTTTTTGGCAATCTCAGATTCCACATGTCAAGACTAGAAAGGCTAAAATAGTAACCCCACACATACTTTGTAAAACAGCAACCAAAAAATAAATGCATCACCTCCCAACGGACACATTTTTATGGATTGATAAACAAATGAACACACTTCTACCGATAAGCTTGTAAAGCCCTGAACATAATTTACAAAATATACCAATACCCGACCAATGATCCTCCCAAAATCTTATGTTAGCTCCGTCTCCCACCTCGAAAGAGAAATAGTTCAACCGTTCAACAAGGCTGATTGAAAATTCATAATTCCTTTCCACACACAACCTCCATAGGAAGATTTTACCTCTTTTGAATCCCACCCAAAGTCTGTAACCCCATATTTATAAGCCACCACCTTCTTCCACAGAGTTTCTTTCCTCCCCAAAACTCCAAAGCCATTTCCCCAGCAAAGCCTTATTCACAGTCTTATTCTTGTTATCTCAAAATCACAATCTTTCTTATCCCTACACACCCAGCCCCACTTCACAAGATGATACTTTTTTTCTCCATATGTAATATATTCCATGAAAACTCTTTCAATCTCTTCAATTGCATCCACCACAGATAACGGGATCTTGAGCAGTGAAAGAGAAATCCGATTTTCTGCCAGTTATGTTCAAAGGAACGAACTATGCTTTGTGGAAGTTCCACTTTCAGTTTTATGTGGAAGGGAAGGGTCTCCAAGGACTGGTGGATGGTACACGTAAGAAACCTGATAGTGGGGATGCTGAGAAATTGCAAACCTAAAAAGTCAACAATGCCAACGTGGTTTTCTGGATCCTCGGTTCCTTCACTACAGATGTTGCTATACCTATACAGAGTTTCGTGTACTGCTAAGGAAATTTTCATGTAGGTGGAAAAAGTGTATCAGCACTCCAGTCTTTCCCGTCAATACCAAATTGAAACAGAAATATTCTCTTACAGCCAGGGGGAAAAGAGGATCCCGGTGTACTATGCTAGCTTTATAAATCTCTGGACTGAGTATAAAGTTGTTGAATATTGGTGAGACCTCCTCTGCATGTTGTGTTAAGGTCCTGAAGGAACACTTTGATAATAGGAAAGGTATGCATTTCTTAATGCATATGAGACACAAGTATGAAGTTATTAGAGTGAATATTCTCAATAGGTGAATCACTCCCTCTCTCGATACTATTTTAGGAGAGTTTCTGAGAGAAGAAACTCATTCAATGACAGTTAACTATGGGCAAGGGATCGGATTCAAGAATGGAGACTGTTTTTCTTGAAAACAAGCACAGACAAAAGAAAGATCTATTAAAGATGTGCTATGAATGTAAGGAATATGGACATGTTTCTTCTCATTACAAGAGGAATTTGTATATATACTACAAACAACACGGCATATAATTACTGAATGCCCACTAGGCCACCTAAGGGCCAAATCCAGGGCACTAAGAAGAGTTTGTTGAAAGCTTATCAAGCTACGATGGATAGTTAAGATGATAATTCTGTGATTTCTTCTTCTTCTGTATTGAAAGGTGATACATCAGGTGTCTTCACTGAAGAGGTGAGACAACTTGTATCCTCTGCATTCTTAAGCATTGGTCTGTCTGATAAGTCTTCTCTCCAGTGTTCTTCACCTCATCATATTTGGATTATAGACTCCGGTGCCTCCAAATCCAATCACATGACAAGGGCATACTCCGGTTCTGGTGAGTCAATTAAACCTCCATCCTTGAATAAGCACATTGTTACTGCTAATGGTGAGAAACTTGATATAGATGGATATAATGATTTGTACTTATTTACCTCTCCTACCTCTTAATTTCACTTTCGCAAAACCCTTTTTGTACAATTGTACCCAAGCTTACCACTAATTTGGTTTCTATTGGTTAGTTAGTTGATGATGGTAATGTTGTTTCCCTTTCTTGTGATGGTTGACTTATACAGGACCAACAAAGTAGAGCAGTAAAAGGGAAGGGGCATAGGTTGGGATGATCGTTTGCCTTGGATTTTGGACAATCATCTAATTAATCTCGTTGCTTATTATCTATTTCTTTGAACTCTGAAGTTATTTGCTGAAATAACTTATGGCACCTTTGGCATAGACGCTTGGGACAACCTTTTGCTAACAAACTTGATTCATTGTTTCAATCTGGTTGTTTAAATTCTAAGAATCTTTCTTTCAAGAATGTTGATGAATCTTGCATATCTTGTAGTTTGAGCAAAATCTATGTGTTGCCTTTTCCTTCTAATTTTGGGCACAGTAGTGTAACTTTTCATATTATACATAGTGATGTTTGGTTGTCTTCTGTGGTTTCCAGACTTGGATATAAATACTTGTTTCTTTCATTGATGACTGCACCAAATACGCATGGATATAATTTTTATGAAAGAAATCAGAAGTGCTCCCTACATTTAGATTGTTTCTTGTTATGGTGAAAACTCAATTCAATGCCTTGGAGAAAGTTTTACATTCCGACTCAGGGAAATATTATGATGGCAACTTGAGTGCTTTTCAAAACTTTTTAAAAGAACAAGGAATTCAATCTGGAAGATCTTGCTTTGGCACTCCACATCAAAATGGGCTGGCAAAACGCAAGAATGGCTGAATGGGCATATTTTGAGTGCGGTGAGGACCCTTGTTTCTAACTCACATGCGCCTAATCCCTTTTGGGTGGAGGCCGCCAGCACTACTATTTTTCTTATTAACTTGCTTCCCTCATCAATGTTAAAAGATTTGTCACCATATGAATGTTTATTTCATCATTCTCCTAACTTTTCTATGCTTCATGTGTTTAGATGTGTTTGTTTTGTTCACCTCCCTCCTCATGAGCATGCAAAGCTCACTTCTCAAGCAACTATGTGTGTATTTGTGGGTTATAGTCTTGATCACAAGAGATTCCTTTGTTATGATCCCAAACTTCGTTGTGTTCACATCTCACAGAATGTTATATTTCTAGAAAACATTTCTTTCTTTTCTCACATGGCAAAATCATCTACCACCTCTGGATATTTCTTGCATTCTTTTGATTCTACAGGGCTTGCAGATCCTCCTCCATCTGTTTCTTTTGCTTGGCCCTTCCAGGTCTACATGAAGAGGCATCTAATGGCTTCAACACTTGCATCCTTGCCCCTTTTAGCACAAGTTGTTGGCTCTCAGTCCCCTCTGAAGGGATGGGAGATCCATCAAATGGATGGTCGAACCCTGCAGGAAGGTTGGGCGAAATTCCAAAATTTCTTTCTCTCCCATCCGGGAATCGCATTCCCTAATTTAGAAAACTGCATTTTCAAGGTTCGTTCTTGAAACCAAAATCGGACCAGATTTGAAACTAATAGGAAGTGAGGGATATACCTGATACGAATTAGCATTAACTCCCAATGCAGGTG